TATATATAGAGAAGGAGAGACAGAGTAAGAGAGAGACAGAGAGCAAGAGAGAGAGAGTAAGAGAGAGAGAGTAAGAGAGAGAGAGTAAGAGAGAGAGAGAGAGGGAAAGAGAGAGAGGGAGAGAGAGAGAGGGAGAGAGAGAGAGAGAGAGAGAGAGAGAGAGAGAGAGAGAGAGAGAGAGAGAGAGAGAGAGAGAGAGGGAGAGAGAGAGAGTAAGAGAGAGAGAGTAAGAGAGAGAGAGAGAGAGAGAGAGAGAGAGAGAGAGAGAGAGAGAGAGAGAGAGAGAGAGAGAGAGAGAAGGAGAAAGAGAGAGAGGGAGAAAGAGAGAGAGAGAGAGAGAGAGAGAGAGAGAGAGAGAGAGAGAGAGAGAGAGAGAGAGAGAGAGAGAGAGAGAGAGAGAGAGAGAGAGAGAGAGAGATTTGTAAATAGTTTAAACCGAAGCAATGTCGAGAGCCAGAAGTATGCGACCGCGGTTCCCTGCCCCGCGGCGACCTTGCTGTATCTGTGCGGCCCCAATATAAGGGCGAACTCGACGTACTCACGCCACTTACGCTTCTGTTGCGTCGTCGCCATGAAGCTGGTAAGGACACTCGTGAATTTCTGTGCCTTTCAGATTATGTTCAACGGTAACACAAGTCAGTTTTTTGTTAGCTAAATGCTGCTTGATAACCATATATGAAAGAAAGTGCAAGATTGTGTTTGCAATAGATTATAGACTTCATCCATTACTTTCCGTCTATTCTTGGTTTTCATTGATTTGTTATCAGTGCCCATTGGCCGTCTACTTTAAGTTTGCGGCCATGATTCTACAGGTGGTAGAATGACCACATTGCGAACTAAACCTCATGCCCATGTCATGAGGGCAGGAATGACGCCCCGCCCGCTCCTTATAGCCTTCTCGCCCGGCGCCCCGCCGAAGGATGCTGCAGGTGCTCGCGGGAGTCGTAGCAGCGAATCCAATAATCTCGGTGACTTTCGTGTCTTCTGTGTTCCAGTCTTTGGTATTGGTGGCGCTGGCTCTCCTGTGGTGCTCCGCTGAGGCCTTTCCTGGCCCTTCTGCTCTGCCCCACCCCGCCGCGGGACCCGTGGCCAATCCTGAAGCTGTTCCTGACGCTGCTGCCGATCCTGAAGCCTTTAGAAGACGCTATGGCTATGGTAGATATAGGCCAAGCCACTCGATCCATTACTACCATGACCACCACCACCACATCGTTTGTGCTCCCGACCACTGCCACGACATAGTCCATTATCACTGAGAACACAGTCTCATTTACGATGGCGAAGTAAGTTCACTTTCTCGGAGACATGGTACTTAGTATCACAGCTATTCCAGTCCTCTATAATCTGGGAGATTTAATACAAAAGGAATAATTAACATCGCCTCATATGTGATATGTTCAGACGCATATCTCACAAATCTGTTGTAAAAAATGAACCTGTAAACCTTCCATGAGATTTGAGTCGCTTTTAACTGCTTCATTAAGAGGCACAAACTGTCACAATGGGAAATGTGCATACAACTTGATGCGTCAAAGCAAATAAATCGACCACATGATTTTTGAGTTTCTTTTGCGACCAACACTTTCCGACATTTGTGTTTCAGTCTTTGTATATACATCACTATTTGTATGTATGTGGGGACACGCCCACCCATACACACACACACACACACACACACACACACACATATATATATATATATATATACATATATATATATACATATATATATACACATA